CGTAAAGTATGTTGTAAATAAACAGGTTTAATGTGAGTCAATATAGTGCCAGAATCCGCCATTGTGTTATAATTAGGTTGAACGTTTTATTTAAATACATTTCACCAAGGCTGACTAATGGTGCACAAATTTCAATCTGATCTCTTTTAAATCTCATAACAAATTTCATCATGCATTACAATGTCTGGTGTAATCACGACATGATCAAATCTAAACCTATATTTATTGATTACATTTTACAATTGCATATTCTTTATCCAATCAATATCTGCTCGTTTCAGACTTTCATACAAAACTTGGGCAATTCAACCAAGTATTCTATCCTTTTAAATACCCACATCTTCTTTTATGGATACGTAAGTTGTATTGTGGGCATCCGGTGTTCATCTCTCTATTAATAGTTTTTGTAACTAGATCAAATGTATCTCCACCCTACGTCAATACTTAAATAGACCAGTATCTGAGATGAGATTATTTTCGCCTTTAAATCTAATTTCATATTTTCTTAGAAAGACCCCCACACATTTTGAACTATAATCTATGTAATCCAATAAGTCACAGGAACAAAATATAGTGCTCAATCAATTTTAAAGCGATATATAAAATTTACTAATCCAATAAGACTCATGTATCGAATAAAATATGTCGTCCACAGCTTTGAAATTTGTACTGTAAATAAAGTACGTATTGGCAATGTCATAGTAAAACTGCCTAAAAAGTATGCCCAATGCCAAGTATTAAGGGTACAGTTTGGAAAATTAAATTCAGCCCAAAAGGATTATCTGGAGTGAAACAACATTAAAGGAATTTTAGGAGGTTTTTAAATCTTCTTGTGTTTATAGGGGGCAATGTTAGCATCCATTTCCAACATTCCAATATTCAATCAAACGTTTGTGATTTCTGCAATTCCAAACTTTTTTTTATGACGTCACTACCTCAAAGAACCCAAAGCTTTGAAAGACCCTGGAATGGTATTAGTAGATTTTTCGATAGTGATAGTTCGATAGTCATCAAACGCTTTGTTTTAGTGGAATTTCTGGAACTACAGACGTCTGACCAACAGTGTCCCCATTGCACATAAAAAGTTAAGAAAACATCTTTACAATCCCTTAAATTCTAGGCATTAACTTAAAATGTTGTCTATAGAGTCGACCTGTAAATAGGACTTTGGTTTGTATCAATTACATTCAAAATCATTACCGGAATATTAGTAAAAATACTTATTGCCAATAATATTGATTTATTCCTTTGTTTAGTTCTCAATGTTTCTTGATTATTGTTACTATTAATTCTCAAATGGACAAATGACAATTTTATTCTATGTTTATTCTGGGAGTGATTTCTATTTTACGGGTTCATGAAGCGAACTATTGAACTTCCGAGATGAGTTTTTTCTATAAAAGGCGATATTAGTAGTTAAGTAAACTATCAAGGCCAGAATGAACAGTCTACAATCACCTCTTCTTAAAGGGACAGTGTAGCTAGACAATCTATTTCAAAGAATAGTATAACCAGTATAAATGTGTAGTATAGATAATTTTATTAAGGGATTACATAGATATTTAGTTAAAAATAGAACATTTTGTTACTCAAAGTCCAGACAACTGACCTATTTTAGCTTACAGACATTTAGTATCCATGGTTGCTTTTAAATAACGGTTTACAGCAGTAAATATACATGCATCTTTCAATTCAGAGTCATTGTGACAGACCAGATGGTGAGGATAGTAATAAATTTTAATTGGTTTTAGAAGCTTTACGTCTAACTGCTATTGTCTAATCTTGCATTCATGGTCAAATTTGAATTGTTTGAAAGTCCTGTGGAAATGGTCATTAGCGTCGGTTCACAGACAATTCAAGAGTGCAAAGCAAGGCAAGGTGCAGAATAGAAACCAAAGAACGGGGGTATACGAGTTGTGATCAAAGAATAAGACTAGTATATAAGGTAATCGATAGAACAAAACATGATATTTCAATCATATTATATAGATGAGATATTAATATGTAGAGTATTGTACCATGTTTTCTGGCACTGTATTTGTTGATATATACAGAGCGGTTTCTGGCTTCGTATACCTTTATTAATCACTACAGTCATGTTGATTTAGTGAAGTGAGCCAGTTGGAACTCTGTCATTACAATTTTTCTAATCTAAATAGCAGATCATTGCACTCTGTTCGCGTAAGTTTTTGCACATCATCAAAAGAGAGTAGATTCAGCAATAATACAATGATTATTGTTCGACACTTCCAAGTTACAAACCAATTTGTTTGATAATACCATTTTGATTATAATCTTTTACTACAGCCATGAACACTGGGATTTAGTTACCTGATCACCTCATGTTGGATAATTCAGCTTGTACATATTTCAGGAACGTCTTTGTTTCAGCGTTTTTACCAATTGGCATATAAAATCCCAATGTACGATATAGTCGTGTGTGCCTATGTAGTAATCAGCTACGAATGAATTCCCATACCCTGACCGTGTAGTCCCTGGTCAATTTGTCATGGTTTACCTAGAGCATGATAGCATGTGTATAAACTATAACCACTCCTATGATTCCATAGCGTGATATGTTTTCAGGTGCGTTCTTCCATGCTTCATTGTTCCTGATATTACTAACAGACTGTTCATGTATAAAACACCATGAAAGTTTTACATTTTATATGAGCTGTTTAATCTGATGACACCTGTTATCGATGGGACGTCTTCATGTTCGCATTTTATTGTGGTTTTCATCCTTGATCTTCTGATTTATTAAGGATGTTATGAATTTTTTACAAGGTAAAACCAAATTAAGACTTTAATACTGGTTAATAGATTAATTCATCGTGTGTCAACCTCATATAATTCGTGACTTTCGACTTACTTTGAAAATTTCATAAGATATCGAAAATAATTTAGTAAATGACGTATGTATCAATCTGTTAAAATTCCTATACGGACGTCCTGATACTTCAGGCAATCCATGTAATTACATAGCTTAAACAACTTAAACAACAACAGTTTTTTTTCCTTCAAATTAGCACCGAAAACGCTACCTATAGTATGGATTTTTAGGAAAAACTATTTTGCATAGCTTTTCGCAAAGAAATGGGCCTGTTTCTTAAAATGTTCTAATAATTGATGCATGCTTTAATTCATACCAAGCAGATCTGGTACGAAAGGGACTGAATAGTTGCAAGACGTATATGAAAAGAGGTTATATTATATAATATGAGAGAAATGCAGTTGCGAGCCCTTTTCTTACTACTAATATAATTTGTTGAAAATTACATCACAAATTTTTTATTGGCGTCCGCAAAAGGATTGTTCTCGATTGAATCTAATCAATTTCCTGTTATTTGTTGCAAACACAGAAATTTGATTGTGGGAAAATCCGTTCATCACTATTAAATCATTATGGTGTCTTGCTCATTTGCCATATAGATTGTTTCCAGCCTATGCTTTCATCTGAATTACACGTATTTTAATGGAATAGCATAAACCTAAAGTGCAAACTGCTCATATTTATCTTTAAATTCCAATATAAATAAAGAAATAACAATTTTGAATTTTTTTTAACTTTGATGCAGGAAAATGCAGATAGTCGTTCGGTATGGAAAGCAACCAAGTAATCGTTAACTATCTTTCAAAAGAATCGGAAAAGAGTAGGCTAATGGGGTTGTCCAGGCAAATTTTCTCAAAATTGCACACTGCACGATAGTGTCTGTGATAATCAAAATAACCAGGTGTATAAAAGTAGGACTGATTTAAATCAAACTCCTTTTCATTTGTAACTAAATTGTCTTCCAGTATTCATGTTCAAATTAATTTTCAATAATTATTTTTCATCATATAGTTTTATTATGTACTATGTATTATTTATATTGTATATTTAAAGATTTCAATGCAATCCAAATGTTGTAATCTTTGTTGAAATTGGGATTTAATCCACTTTAAAAAAATATAGTTTCTTTGTGAGAGTTTGATCATCTTGTTTGATTTATTTCTACAGGAATAAGGTGCTTTTAAAGACATGCCAAACGTTACTGCAAAGGTGGACTGTGGGATAAGTGCATTTTCAATAAAACAAAACCATAATAAGTGTAAACTATCTGAGGTGTCATATGGCATTATTATTAACATTATGATGACAAAATAGGAAATTGTTATCCTATTGTTCGTCACCGGTGCTCACTCAGATGATAGGATGATCATCCGTGTGCTACATCTAGTAAATACTAGATACAGATGGTCGCTTATTCTACTTTCCAAGCTTGCTTCAGTTAAGGACGTTCATCCAAGATAATGACAAAATTTAGATCATCCTTTTTAATATGGAAGTATTCGTTGTTCGTCTTGAATGAATATGGATCAATGGAAATTCCTAGATACATTTTTTTATCTCCCTTGAAAATATTAAACATGCAACTATCTGAAAATTATTATCTGTAAATATATAATAGACCTTAACAAGTACCATGGTATTGAAATAGCAAAACTCGTTGTGTACTTCTTTATTCTTGGAATTCATCGTCATATACAAATACAAAAAATATACATTCACCAAATACAGGAATATTTACAGAACTGAATAAATCTTGCATACCTCACATTGATATACAATTAAAATAAAATGTCAAATTATATACATGTACAGTGCTTCTAGAAAAACTTCGCCAACGATCATAATATTACTTCTAGTGTATTTCCTTTCTTTACAGTTTCAAATCAATTTTGATTCAAGTACACATATTAATTTGAAGATATGGTGTATTTAGAACTTCAAAGCTACTACAGCCTAAAAGCGGAAAATCTTGACACTAACAATATATAGCATTTAGTGCTTTCGAAGGTAATTAGAAAATTAAAAATGAAAACTTGGACATCAAAGGACCGTACCATTGTGTTATTTTCAGGTAACTCAAACAATGTGTTTTCTAAAAGTCACACTTTTTTTAGTAGCAAGTTCATATTTTTTACCTTGAAGTAAAGAGAAATAGAGAGGTTTGATTCTATACAGATTTGCCCATAGCAACAGCTAATGCAGTTGTGTTTTGACCATTATCTGATGTCAAAACGGGAATAGTGTAGCTTAAAGACCCAACAATAATTATTAAATAAATAACAAAAAATATTCTATCCAGTATCAAAGCTATTGCCTTCCATTCCTTCATTAGCATTTCTTTACGATCGCGTTCAAATAATCTTCTACGATTTTGTTTAATAAAATCTCGTAATTCACACAGTTGTTTATCAATAGCGAATAATGGACCACCAGTTTTAGCCAGATCTTTTTGAAGATGAACTAACATTTCCGTTGAGGCCATTGGATCCGGATTCCATTTATCCGCTTGAAGGTCTTGTATACTGCCACCGGTAGTTATATTCTTAACAGCCTTTATATTCCGTAGTGGACTAACCAAGGAATCCATTAGTAGAATTTTAGCAACGTAATTAAACAGGCCCTGAAAAGCAAAATTTTATTTTCAAACGATGAATTAATAATAAAAATCTAATTAAAATCTCACCTGCTGTATTAATCAATAGTTGAACTGAGAGTATTTATATCCTATATCTAAAAAATTTCAATAAATGAAAATGAAAGTCTATTGAAAACATTTTATGCCAAAATCAATGTCAATGAACATAAACACACAATTGTGACTATCACCCTTACCGGTACAGAAATATCGGCTTAGTTGCATGATGTTAACATATATTGTCACAATCGTGTTCATCAAGGTTATTTTCTCAGTATATATGCATTAATATATCTAGAGGTACACAATATTCTATTAGCATGGTCTCTGGTCGGCTTTTATTCCAGACAGTAACTTTTCGTCTGTATTTATCAATCTGTTGCTAAGATATAATAATAGTACCTATTGAATATTTCAATCAAATGTTTGTCTGATGAGATGAATAAGTATCTAAATATCATTGTCAAAGTTATGTACACTTGCTGTAAACTTGCTTTTTATTTATGGCCATATCAGGATATATGTAAAAGGATGAATGAATCAATGAATGTACTCACACTGCGGAATGGTTCTGGAAAGTGAGATCGGGTTGCACCATAATGATTCAGATTCACAACCATAACGTTAAGAAAGGATGACAGAGTTATGATGATCATGTTCAAACAATAATATGTACCTGGAAATATTAAATATTTTAAGTAAGTTAAAGGTATTGCCAAGGAACAATTCTTACTAGATCTATAACTGAATTCAAAAAGTCACGAAAATATGATTGGATCTGGAAAGCAGATGAAAGAAGCTGGGAATTGAACATACCACGGAAAATATATTTTGAAAGCTGGGACATAACTCGGGAAATTATAAAATAATACTTAAATAACCATTGTCCAGGAATTTAAAAAAAGACATACAAAATCCACCAAAAATAAAACATGAAACAATAATCAATAAAAAAATTGTCAATGATCCGAAGACTTTCAATCAGATGCGAAAAAAACTGAAGGTCATTCATAAAATCTTCATCGATTATTACTATATTCGCGCGATTTTAGAACTTTATATTTATATTAAAAAATACTAGTAAAAGTAAGAACATACGTGTTTTGGATTGAGGTCATGATGGCCTGGACAGGTTTGTTAGAAAAATTTGATGAAAGATGAAATCATTTGAAAAAAAAATCACCTGTCACATGATTCAGACAGTTCTACTTTGAGAATTCCTTTTGATAAAGCAACTTCTAAATATAATCGAAATATAGGCAAGAAACCATAACGGGCTTTCAAAATTGTTTCCATTTTTATAATCCGAAAACATGTTGAAACTCCCTAGAGATTTAAGATAAATAGAATTGTAATAGAGTAACAGACTGGTATTTTATTTTCAGATTAGAAGTTACTCTAAATCCTATGGGATGAAAGAAATAGTCTTAATATGTAAATGCCACAATAGGGTTATTTATAAACCCATTACTGTATGACTATAGTACCAATCTTCGAAAGGTGATAAATTTGTCATTTCTTCCTACTTGGCTTAATCCAGATTGTACTGCAACTATAAATTTAATGAATTACTGCATGACTTACCTAATAGAGGCATAGTATCTGTACCGGGTGGTAAGTTCTTCTCTAAAATTTTCAACAACACGAAAAAAGCAATGAATTCTGTTAACCCTGAAGATATAATGAAAATTATTAGTAATACATTGTCAATATTGTATTATAGCACGATGAAGGCTGCACAGACTTTGGATAACTTGCGTTAAAAGTAATGCAAAGGTCGTGCAAAGTAACGGACCATATTTAAAAATTGACAAAACTTTCGCTTGCATCCGTTTTTCGGTGAATAATAGGCATTTTCTTTTGCCATATTATTTGCTTTTTTAAAATAATACAATGCTGACTGAAAAAGTCGTTCTCACCTGGACTCTAGACATCAATGGAAAGAAGACAGTTAGATCAAGAAGGTCACTTTTCAGATAGAGAATCAAGCGACTAAAAGACACTTAATTAGTTTAACTTAATTTAGATCTGATAAATGAAGATCCCACTCATTCCTACTTTGGGATTAATAGATTGGATATTGAGACTGTATCCCTGTATCTTATATACAAAAACGACAAAAAAGATAGTAGTGGTTCATTAAAGACAGAGAATTGATTGGCTTTTTTGTACAGATAATTTAAAAGAGATATTAATTACCTAATTGCATTTTAGCTGGTGATTCAGGTGGAATCCAGAATAACACTAAGGTAATAGATGTTAATAACACACATGGTAAAATTAATATATAATTATATAGTGTAGCTCGTCTTTGAAATATTAAATTATAAGTTATGTCTACGAATGGTGAAGGGCAGCAGGTATAATACTCGGTATTTTTAACACCGGGTACATCTATGATCTGCCAAGCATTACTCTCGATATATTCTGTTAAATCGATGTAGTTTCTATCTTCATAGAATTCTATATCTAATTCAGCCCCGTTATATGTCCAGGAGCCAAATTTTAACGAACAGTTTTGAACATCAAATGGGAATTTATAAACATCTATTAAACAGGAACTTCGATAAACAACTTGTGGCATCCATTGTATATCACCTGTATGATAAAATACACACAGGGGTTTTCGATGTTCTTCTAAACGTAGATCAGCACTGGAAAATAGTAAATAAAACTTCAAAATAAATCACAGTTTTTGACATAAAGAACTATTTTTCGTTTATTTAGGATTATATTCTAAATTATGGTGGTTAAGATAAGTTGATTAAAACAGTTGTAAAAATCATTTAAAAATAAAACAACCATACGTACTATGGTAAGAGCAAAAAAGATCTTACTAATTATATAGTTTAATATCCGGTAACCATATTTTATCATAAGGTATTCTAACTTTCTCCACTCCACCATAATCTTCCTTATTCCAATGTATATGATCATCTTTCCACCACTGAAATTAGACATAAAAAGTACATAGAAAGGAATATGAACTAAACAGTCCTGGGAACTATTGTTTACATACTATTTCACTCTCTATGATTTGAAGGAATTAGGGTGTTCGTTTTGTTGATTCAGTTAGAGATGGATCAAATCGGGTTACTACAATGTGTTTTGAATTGTAATACAATACTGATGTTTTTGTTTTGTGTTGATTTCCCATTGTTTTATTGGCATCTAATCTTGATAACGGCTAACGGTTGTAACTTGTAAAATTGTTCTATTCTTCGTTGCATCTGTTTAATCAATCGGTTCTTGTTTGCCAAAAATGTAATTTGAATGAAGAGAAACACTAGAGAAAATTAAGTTTCTCTCTTGACATTAAATGAAGACGAAGATTAACCATGGTAACCTGTTTGTTTGTAAGGTGTATAACATAGACACATATTCTTATTAACTTTGAATTTTTATTCATTTGAAGATGGAATAGTTTGTTTTATATTATAACAATTTATATATATTCTTTGACAAGTTTATTTATCTTGACAGGATGTATATAAAATAAGAATAGATAAACCTCATATTTGTGAATATTTACTTAAGATCTGAAAAATTTCTTAATAAAATGGCATGTTAACATTAACCTTAACACAAAAGAAAAGCAGGAACCGATGACATTTTAAAGATAAAGTGCTTTATTTATCCATTAGCCAATCTTGTAATAAAATCAGTCATTTGGAAATCATTATTTTACAATATATTTTCTGTCTATCATCTTGATGTGTATTTAACAGTTGTAAGGTACGGAACCAACATTCTTCTATTGTCTTAAAATAATATTGATCTAATACTGGTATAGGCTCCTGTTAGCGCCGGACAATTCCTACATATCTCTTAAGATTGATTCCATGCATTAACAGTTTGAGGTTTTAATACCAAGTCTTAAGGGTGCTCTTCTGCAGAAGAATCTGAGAAATAAGTTAATATTAAATGCGTATGGTATTCTATATTATGATATCATTTTCAAGCTTGATTTGTATAAAATAACAACTTGTCAAATCAACAGTTATTCATATGATGAGGATCTCCTGTGCTAAATTTATCTGTAGTAGACATCTATTTATTTCAATTTCATATACAGTGGCGGCGGCAGTGTGGGTACAGAAAAGTAACACCACAATTGTAACCCCACTTTATTTTCAACAAATCTAAATGTCAACCTTTTGTGTCCAAAATATGTGTCAGAATGCACAAAATCAATTCATTTTTACTTAAATTTTCTAGAAAGAACCCTCTTAGACGCTCCATTAGAGGCTTGCGACTATGACACCATCACAGAGTAGCCAAAATTTGAATTCAGCCTCAGATATTACAGTACTCTGTTTCCAGATCCCACAAAATATGTTTCTCTATTACTCTGTCTTCAATACTGAACTGTACTGACATTGAAATTCTGATTTGAGGTTTTATGGGTTCCAGATTTTCTTTGATTTGGATTCAAGCATTCAAATGACTAAATATCAAATATTGATCTGGCGTAAAATTGCATATTCATATTCACTTCATCATCAAATAAGTCCAATATGAAACGAGTTGGAAAATATCTGACAATCTGTCAATTTATTGTCATGGCATGCCAATTGATTATCATCTTTGTCATACATAAAGCCTATAATATCATACTTAGCTATAAATCTTCGGATACTATTACAGTTTTAAATAGAGTATACGAAGCGTATTCTATATTAATGTATCAACGTTACCGTATCAATGCCATAAAAACATGCAAGTTTTTAAAAATATATATGTACAAAAAGTTATCATTAAGAAAACTCATGAGGGTATGTGATGCCGAGTTGATGAACCCATTGGTAAACGATGAGTATTTAAGTTATTAACATCCAATTACACTGCAATTCATTTTCTCACTAATGTCTTAATCGCCAACATTTTGTATATTATTTCACAGAATATCTTAATTGAGATAACTAATCCAATTACTACCTACTACCCACCTATTTTCTTTGTAAAATATCACTAGTAAATTAAGAGGTTAATAAATGTATATGTATTATTTTCATCAAGTAGTTTTTGCTGTCTTTTGCAATTATATTTTACAGTGTAGTGATTTTAAAACAAAAACCACATTGAATATAGCAAGTGTTATGCCCTTTGGCAACAATGTAAATGGTAAAGTAGTATAAAGTTGTTTTAACCACTGTCTGCGTCTTAAGTAATTATTGTGTAGTGTAAGATTATAGACGTATTGGAAGTAAGAATGGGATTGGTAAGGCAATTAGTAAGATCATGTCTTAAAATCACTCAGTAATATCTCCACTTCCTCAATAAATCATGATTATTAAGAAAGATACCGCTATAAAAGGTTAGGAAGGGTTGTATACAGACTCAGTAAGAAATTATGTTACTCACGTATTGATCCCAAATATTTAAGCTCAAAACTTGATTTTTTTCATCGAGGTCCATGATCTGTGTCAACTGGATACTAAAATATACTGTGAGGGTGTCATTATATTTCTTCACTGGTCGACCATATTTTCCTCTTCTTTCATACGCATGGATAATCTTTTTGACCAGTTTGTCTTCATCTGAGAGTGATTCTACGGTTCCTTTTAAGGCGGCTGTAATAAAAAAATCTTTTAAGGTCTACTGAAAAGACATGAAATTGGAAGAAAAAAAGAATCAATGCTACAATGTTAGGTTATCGGAAGAAAATAATGATTATTTACGTTAATAGTTCCAAATTTCTTTCAGGAATGGCTAATTCTCTTTTGTCGATACCGCCTAATTTAATATATTGTTCGTACGTTTACCAAACCTTTTATTAAAACTAACAAAACACACAGAACTTGGCAACTAATTTCCTAGTTAATGCCCGAAAGAGATCAACCGACATGTTCTGTTCCAATTTTTCTTTAGTTTCTGTCGCTGAAAATAACTCTTCAGAGAATGGTTGTAACCTTTTGAAGAATCGTTTAACAATAAATCACGTACCTACACGATTTTGTCCTGAAAGTTCAGTTCGTTTAATCCATCCATTGACCATGATGTCTTACTTTAAGAATTACTTTACAACTTGAAGTTGAGTAAACTTAAAATTTGATGCTTTCAGTACTGTCACTAAATTACTCCGCTTTTATGAAGTATGTAGATTAAATCTACCCAGGAGAGTTGGAAATTAAATTGGATTTGCTTTTCGAAATTGTCAACAATCACGGCCAGACTGTATGACAAACGTGACAACTTAGATTTTCCTATACTTAATTTTCCTTTCATGTACAGTAATATACCACAATTACCAGCTTATGGAGTATACATTTCACAACTCACCCGCTATGCTAGAGCCTTCTATTTTTGAGGACTTTCTAGCTAAAAGTCGAGTATTAACTTTGAAATTGCTGAAATCATGTAGAGTTGGCAGAATTGTCTTGATTGTGTGGATTTTTATCAGTATTAATATTAACGTAATAATTCTTAGTGTTCCCAAAATATATGAACATTATTATTCAAAGGATCGATAATAAAGGAGCGCCAGGGACAAACTGATAAATCATAGCATATAAAGTTCTGTAGTGAAAACATGATAACACTTAAGGACTAAGATCAACTTAACGATATGGAGAAGAAAACAGAATCATCGATCATTACATCAGAAATCAGGTTAACCAACTACACCATTTAAATGTGAATATCATGGTAGTATGTTGAAGTCAGGAGATAGACAGACCAATTAATCAAACTCAACTTCTCAATTTGTCACAGTCATCTCATTCTTTTTCTATCTACTTATTCCAGCTATTGGTAGATAACCTAGCTTCTAACCGCGTCTAAGCTCCGTTTAATTAATTTTATTCATCCGTGCTGTTAACTTCCTCTACTCGAGTTAAAAATAGCTTCTATATATCGATAGAAATAAAGAGAATCTGAAAGCTATTGTATCCGGTGTCGAGTTAAAGAACTGTCAGATTACATGTCGATGTTAGTTTTTTTCCCTTCCAGAACCAGACAAATTAAAAGTTCAAGACTACCATTCGTGACAAGAATACAATAAAAGATGGCATTATTTCCTAATCACTTCGACTTTTTTATTCTTTTCCCACAAACTTTGTCACCTGCTCCTTATCACTAAACATTTTTTGAAGTTACCTACCTTAATTCTACACCTAACCTGCTTGCGTCTAGCTCAGCGTTATAGATTCTAAGGGAGTCAGTTAGTTTGTAGATCATTTAGTATTCATATACATATTAATTGATTCAGAAATGGTAGAAAGTTTTCGTTAAAAATTATTTGAGTGGAATAGTGTGTATAAAGTTGCTTTATCAGCCTGCTAACACATTCTTCTTAATAGCTGTATCGAACTGAAAGCTACTCTCAGTTTCTGAATGTACTTAACTGATCTGTTAAGACTATTTCAGCTATGGAGGAATATATTTCACTGGCAACATCTTGCTATAATTCACTTTCAAATCAGATCATGTCTTAACTAGTGGATCAATTTAAGATGTATAAATTATTATTCAACTTCACTTGAAGGTCATAGATAGAATAAATTAACAATGTACCTGACATTTTGATACATGCATATAGTTTAATACATTAATCATCTCTTTATTGACTTGTTGACTGTCCACATTCAATGTTGAACGATAAAGAGACATATACCTATAAGTAATCACAAATTTGAATATTGAGAATTTGTTGAAATTGTTATAAAAACCGAATGCTTCACTTATTAACTTGCATCCTCTGTTATCTTGTTTCAGAAGCCGACATCTAAAATATTGAATCTCATGCCTAGTACATTTGAACAATTTTGAAGGAAAAACTCCCCGCGTTTTAGTAACTCAAATTATATTTTATAGCAGTTAATTTAAACAAGAATCATGTTCAAGGATAGACTATAATGTCGTGCAAATTATGTTATTGTTGACAATTACAATTGTGTGAGAGTAATCATGGTCACATTCTGTACAAATTAGCATTAAGTTTTAAGAATAGTGTACGAAATTAAGCACCTTCAACTAAATAATTTTGTACACTAACAGTCTATTGTGTTCAATTTAAGACATACGACTTCTGTATGTTAGACATACAAATTATTCTTAGAGCGATCTTAAATTTACAGGCACACAATTTAAAGTTGGATTTTTTTTAAAAAGATTACGTCTGAATTCTCACCGAGTAAAAAATCTAAAAGTACAACGTGGACAAAGTTATGGAAACCTTTACCAGTTGCATTTGACATTAAACGTGGATGTTATTACCTCTAATGATAAAATGTGTTATATTATTGTAGGTTTGGGTCTATATTATGTTCAGTATTCTTGTGACCGTTATTCAACAGTATGAAGACCTTTCTTTTTACCAGTGTTCTATTGTGCCTGATTCTACAAACAGGTAAAAATCTATTTTACTATTTGACTTTAAATTTCAACCCCATTTTGGCCCTCTTACATCAATTCTGACTTTTTATTGTATTTTATTTTTTAAGGATGTGTATGTGCTATCTTCACCTTTTGTACACAGATTTATCAGTTTTTGTAATTTTTTTTGCTTTGTGTACTTCGTTTTGGCCTATTTTCAAATTATCTCTCTCTCTGTGATATAAATATTTGAAATATGAAGTATAAATTGTCGTTCACTATCACGTTTAGGTGAATGCTTTTCTCGAATAATTCTCTTTTATAGATTCAACCTTTAATGGTCTGTTAAGAGGAGCTCATTGTCCATTTCAAAGATTTAAGTAATGTAATATTTGGGATACCAGACGATAAAGCAAGATTCAATGGACAGGTGAGTAACGTTTGCGGGTTAGTAAATGGAATGGTTCGTAACGTTTTCGGGTATGAAATGGAATGGTTCGTAACGTTTGCAGGTAAATAAATTGGAATGGTTCGAAACGTTTACAGGTAATTAAATGGTATGGTTCGTAACGTTTACAGGTAAGTAAATGGAATGGTTCATAACGTTTACAGGTAAAAAATTGGAATGGTTCATAACGTTTGCAGGTAAGTAAATGGAATGGTTCGTAACGTTTACAGGTAAGTAAATAGAATGGTTCGTAACGTTTACAGGTATGGTTCGTAACGTTTACAGGTAAGTAAATGGAATGGTTCGTAACGTTTTCAGGTAAGTAAATGGAATGATTCACAACGTTTACAGATATGAAAAGGAATGGTTTGTAACGTTTGCAGGTTAGTAAATGGAATGGTTCGTAACGTTTCCAGGTATGAAATGGAATGGTTCGAACGTTTACAGGTAAGTAAATGGAATGGTTCGTAACGTTTACAAGTAAGTAAATTGAACGGTTCAAAACGTTTGCAGATAAGTAGATGGAATAGCTCGTATCATTGGTAGATATACAATGGAATGGATCGTAACGTTTGCAGGAAAGTAAATGGAATGGTTCGTAACGTTTTCAGGTATGAAATGGGATGGTTCGTACCGTTTACATGTAAGTTAATGGAATGGTTCGTAACATTTGTAGGTGAATAAATGGAATGGTTCGCTATGTTTGCAGGTAAGTAAATGGAATGGTTCGTTACGTTTGCAGCTAAGTAAATTGAGGTGTATCAGGTGACCATTGCAAAGACTGTTTTGTCTGAAAAGCATGGATCAAAGTCTCCATTGTTGTCTTGTAAATAGTCCCTGCTTTTTTCCACCATGCATAATGTACCATGATTGTCATGTATTTGATTCTTGAAGGGTATTTCAAGATGCCTAACCATGTATGGAAGAATTACAATGTCCAGAATCAGGATTAGTTACAACTATTAAAGTCGTTATGAAGTACATGGATTTTGTATGTGGCAAAGACTTTTCAGGTATGTATAGCAATTTATACTGCATTAAAGTCTTTTTATTTTTCACCAATAGTGAATAGTCGATAGTGGTGGTCTCACAAACAGGAAGCTAATCTGTTACACTGTTCACGACTTACCGTTTGAGCATTCTTAACCATCAACAAGACTCACACATTTTTGAATATTTAAATTTGCAGAGAGAATAAAGTTTGGAACGAAATAAATAAAAAATTTCTTGATATATATAGATCTATTACATTGAATTATGCGATTTTCGCGCAATTCTCGTACTTCTGAAGACTTTTTTCAAGGTCCAAATTTATTCCCCGAAAATGATGGAACATGGATTTTTAGTTTACATTATATAAAGAAAGCACTAAAGTGGTGTAATAACATGCATTAAACATCCTCAATTTGATTATGAATTGAGCTTTTTAAAACTATTATTAAATGCTGATAAAACATTATATATATATATATTCAAATATTAGGAAAATCAATGATTTCATTTTAGTTAACTATTTGGGTTTTTCTTTTGTTAAAATAGAACTTTCTGCTTCGCACAGGGAGCCGCGATGGCTCAGTGAGTTAGACGCTTGCTCACTAACCTGAAGGTCCAGGGTTCAATCCCGGCATAGGTCGAGATAATACCTTCCGATTTTTTAACCCGGTTTCCCCCTGTCAGTGATGCAGGTAAGAGGGGCTAACATTGAAAAAGTGTTTAGTCGTTCGGATGGGACAATAAACCGAGGCCCCGTGTGCTACAGGTTGTGCACGTTTAAGATCCCTCGGCAGTTGGAAATCGAAAAAGAGAAGGCTAATGCCTCTGTCCTGGCAATATTTCCCTCATTGCACCCTGCATGGCGTTGCCCGTCTTCATTAGCCCACATGGTGCAGAAAAGTATGACGTAAAATTCATTTCATATCATTTCTGCTTCGAACAGATGTTGGTCCGATAGCAATTGGGTGTCTGAATCTAAATATTGGTGCTGTTTTGCAGAGGTTTATGACTGTTCGCAAGTAAAGACATTCATGTCGTTGGATTCCAATTGTAACATTATCATAATAACATGCACTCAACAACCTTTGGAAGAACGGTTATAAAAATCCGACCACTACTTATATTTATACGCAAAACGAGATAGTCGTATAGAGTATTCGCATTGCATTTAACAAACATTTTCATCAAAGTTTGTGTGAATACAAGAGTGGTGTCTATTGGATTTTTTGATGGGTGAATCA